GCAAGACCAAGCAGGGGTTAATGACAGAACTGCTGACATGGATGTCATTACCAAAGTAATGACATATGAATAATAGAACTGCTGTCATGGGTTGACATCTGGTGCAGCAGGAGCTCTGTGCAGCAGGAGCTAACAAAAGCAGATGACATAACAATTGTCATGGATGCAGCAGGAACTATGTGCAACAGGAGCTAGCAGAGGCTGACATCAAGGTCGAGTGCAACAAAAGCAAGCAGAGACTGACATCAAGGTCGAGTGCAGCAAGAGCAAGCAAGAGCTAGCAGAGGCTGAAGAAAGGACTGATTTCATGGATGTCATTACCAAAGTAATGACATAGCTGTCTGGCACAACAGGCACTGTTATGGGTCAGCAGTAGCCTAGTTCCTCACAGGTTAAGCTGTGATGAAGTTCCTCACAGGCAGTGTGAGGTGTGCAGCCACAACAGGCTAAGTTGTGATGAAGCTCCTCACAGGTAATGAGTGAGGTGTGTTGTCATGTGTCTTAAGCAGGACATCTTTGCATGACAACACAAGGAGCTGCTAGTCTATATCTCTTGACAGAATTGGTTTGGATTGATGAGACCATGCTGAAAATACCTCATCAGTAAATATGTCAAGGAGATGGATTAGGAACAAGAAAAAATTGTATTGGTATTCATAAAAGGATCTTAGAGACCTTTTAGGAAACTTGAATATACTTGTTTCTAATGTTATTCTGCAGAAGATTGGGTGAATTCAGGTCTGGTGTAAAGAAAGATCTGCAGAAGAGTGGATGTCATACTGAATGTCATGACATTGATCGTATGACATCAGTCGTGCAGGCATGTTAGTTTTCTGTTATCTTAGGCTAGATTTCAGGAAGACTTGTTATGACCTCTGAGTTATCTCAGAAGAGATTCAAGGCAATGCTGACCATGCCATGACCTAATTGGACAACACCTTGAATTGTGGAAATTAGTTTTATTTTGTTAAAACTAATGTTTGTTACTTCTGCACAACCCAAGCCCAGCCTGCAGTGCTATAAAAGGAGGCGCAGAAGCAAGGGAAAAGCAAGCACTCACATCAAGAAAAACAAGAGTGTAAAATAGAGGTCTAGGCTTGAGAGTCCCTTGTGTAAGTCACCCTTTGTATCTTTTGATACATTGAGTTAGACATATTTGTAAGTGAAGAAGGCTAGTCTTCACTTGTAAAGTCTGTTTAGGAATACTTGTAATCCAAGCAATTGTCTGGTGGATGATTGTTTTGGTTAGGTAGATTCTAGGCTGTGTCTCACTCGAAGCTGTGAAGCAAGAGTGTGTGAGTTCCTTGATCAAAGCTGTGAAGCAAGATCTAGGTGTGTATGAAGTGTCTCTTCATACTGATTTTGTAATTGTTTGATATCACTGTTGTGTGATTGAAGGGGAGTGAGTGGGTATACTCAGGTACTAGAGTGTCTATAGGCTGAAGTGTCATTGGGTAGAGATTAAGTTAGAAGTGAAAATTGGAGGTTTGACTTTGAATTGATTCTACTAATAGTGAATTTCCTCCTTGGCTTGGTAGCCCCCAGATGTAGGTGTTGTTGATACCGAACTGGGTGAACAATTACTGTGTTATTTATCTTTCTGCATTTACAATTATGTACTTTAAATGGTTAGATAAATAGAATGACAGACTGCAGATGTCACAACAGAGGTCGTGACATTGGGACAATTTAAAGAAATTTAAATTGACCATGGTTTGTCCTCATCCTTGTTGAGCAGAGATCAATGTTCTTAGAACACATGTGATTTGCATACCAGAATTTCAATTGGTATCAGAGCAGGCATCCTGTCTGTTCTGGATGAGATCTTGGGAGATACTTTATGGGGTTTTTAACAAGGAGAAGCTGTAGCTGAGTTGCTGAATGGTTGAGCTACTACTTATGGAGCTAAAGAGAAGCTTGTATCTGTTGGTGTGCCCTCTAATATAAGAGCTTCTATGACCTGGTGATTGTGAAGGAGTGGCTACTTCTGTATGATGTCCTATAAGGGCATGTTGAAGAAGTTCTTTTGGTGGTTCCGCTGCATAATTTTCTGATGAAAGAACTTTGGTAGCCCTGGGAGAAGATTGGCATATATTCAGTCTAATGCATGGTTGTGGCAGCTGTGTAGATGATTAATAGATGGTGCTTGCAGCAGTGCTTGGGTGTATGCCTGGGCTGTTCCGGTGTTTGCTGGAAGCTATGTAGAGAAGATAGTGGGAGGTGATTTATTTTCACCACTCATGACTTGAAAGGGTTCTATCAGCAGAAGAAGACATAGGCAGGTTAAGTCAAGGATGTCAGCCTTGGTATTCCATGAAGTTTAGAGAAGGATCTGTTACAAGGATTTAAGATTCATTGCTATTTGAGATATTCTCAAATACGTAATGGATTATCCTTAGTTGATGATCAAGATGTCTCATCAGTAGCAGCACAAGCAGGAGGCCCCTGATTTGTTTGGTCTACTTCAAGAATCTGATGCTCAACTAGATGTTGAGACATTCAATCAGTAGAGATTGTTCAGAATTTTGTTGATCCATAGATCAAAGGAGATATAGCTGGATCTGTACTCATTCTAGTAAGGTTCTTGGTAAGTAACTAAGGTTGGAATAGAGTGCTGATGGGAATGAAGATGAAGACAATCTGCTCTATAAGAGTATTGAAGTACAACAATTGTGTTCTAGTTTCTAATAGAAGCACCTGATCTATTAGCTAGAAAGTTTCCTGGCAAGAAACTTGTCTAGAAGATGGTGTTGGTGACAGCGCTGCTTAGGTCAGTTTATTTCTGATCTAAGTGCATAGAAGCATATGACCTTGCTCAGCTTGGAGGTCAAGGATAAGTAGCAGTTATCCTTGATTTTCTGAAGAAGTCTATACTTAAGGAAAGTGGGAATCCTTTTGTAGAGACTTGTGTGATCCTTCCTGTAATACCCTAATTTTTACCCCTAAGATCCCACATTTCATTTGCATATCATTCCACAAACAAGATCATACTTTGTGGTTCTTTCACCCTTGTGTTTCTTACTTTCTTTATGTTTGTTTATGTTTACTAACATCTAACCAAAATATCAAAAATATTTTTTCAATTTTTCTGTTTCTTCTTCTCTGTGTGTTTAGGATTTTGCAAAAGGGATTGATGGCAAGGACATTCATTCGAGTCTAAATCAGATGGAAGTTTGACCTCATCTTGGTCAAACTATCAAGGGATTACTTCATTTGCAAGTTATGTATCAGTGGTCTATTTTCTCAAGAGATGATTGTTCAAAGTCAAGTGGTCTTATGGAGAATCATCAGTCTGTCGAGCAGTGTTCAATAAGAAGTTTGGTCCAAACTAAAGGTGCAAGTAATGTCCTGGTACATGAATAGTTGTGTTTATTTTCATCAGAGGGTTCTTGTGGTGGAGATTCTGTTAAGGAAAAAGAGAATTCTAGGGTTATGGATGATAATGATACTTTGGCTACCTTTAGGAAAAGGTTGAAGGGTCCAAAGAGAGATCAGGTATATGAGGCCATGCCTGCTTTGAATGTTGCTGTTGAGGGTAATGCTTTGGGAACTGGCGGATCTGGGAAAGGTGATGATGACATGCAGCTGCATCGTGATTCCGATCAGCATATGGAAGAATCACTGTCTATGATTTTCCATAAGGCGCAGTCTAGTTCTGTTAGGAAATCCCGTGCCGCGGTAGGTTCAAAGCAGAAAAAACAGAATCGGAATGTGGATAGTAACATGGTTCCAGAAGTTTAACAGAAAATGTAGATTCTTTGGTTGAAGGTAGATCTGGATCTGCTTCTGCCTTGAAATCGGTTGAGAGAAATCATGAGTCTGATATGTTTTGTTCAGCATCTGTGATGGAGAATCAAAAGGGTAGTGGTGACTGTTTGCAAGAGGAAAAGGCAAAGGACATTTATGATTCAAACATTCCTGATGAACCGTTGGTTTATCACTCTAACTCAATCATTGCCTGCGATGACGATGGACAACAATTGTCAAGTGTACAAGTTGAAAATGTTTGTGGTGCTTCTGACGAAATGTTTACATTGCAAGAAAAAATTATTGATAATAGTTCGAATCAGTGTTCTTCCATGTTACAAGATGTTGAAATAATTGATATTGGCTCTCCCTCTAAACCGGGGGAAGGGGTATGTGGACTTTCTGAGACTGGAGAGCTTGAGAATAATAGATCAATTGATGAAATAGCAGAAGAACAGGTGTGTAATGGTGCTTCAGAAGGAGGTGTTTCTTCTTCCGCAGAGAAAGAAGTTTTGTTAACTTGTCACACCGAGCTCTTGATTAAACTAAATGAAAATAATCCCATGGTTTCTGGAAAAAACTTTCCAGGAATCCTCAATCAATGGAGGTAAAAAAGTGGAAACTGAGTTTGTTTCTGGTAGAGATTGCTATGATTATAGTCCTTTAGAAACAAATGCTGAAGTGCAAGATGTTGTTGTAGGCTGCTCACCTGAAAAACATGTAGCAATTGCCAGTGGTAGTTTATCTTCTATTTTGCCTCATGATGACAAACCTTTGGAAATGTGTAATATTCCAAAATACTCCAATGCATCCATTATGAAGTGCAGCTATGCGTTAGATCCAAATCAATCTGATGGATCCTCTATACAATCTTCAATTCCAGATGAAAATGGAAACACTACAGAATATCATGCCTCTGTGTCTGATTTTGCTGACAATGGTGGTAAGGTATCTGGCAATCCTCGTGCAGCACGAAAGACCAAAATGAATAAGCACGGCGACATGACTTATGAGGGAGATGCTGATTGGGAGATTTTAATAAATGATAAAGCCCTAATTGGAAACCAAGATGCTGCAGACGGTGAACGTACTCTTAGAACAAGAGTGAAACAGGATTCCTCTTTGAATGCTGTTGAGGACTCTGAAAGTGTAGCAGTAGCAGCAGTATCTGCTGGGCTGAAAGCTCGTGCAGTTCAGTCCAAATTGAGTGACATTGTGCTTTGGCCTCCAATTCAATCAAACTTCATTTCGTTATGGCCCCTAGAATCCTACTCTGCGGCGACGTTTTTGGCCGCCTTAACCAGCTCTTCAAGCGCGTCTCATCGGTGAACAAATCGGCCGGTCCATTCGACGCCCTCTTGTGCGTCGGCCAGTTCTTCCCCGACTCACCGGAGCTTCTTGATGATTTTATGTCATACATTGAAGGCGCCTCTCACATTCCCCTCCCAACGTACTTCATCGGCGACTACGGTGTCGCCGCTCCTAAAGTTTTGATGGCGGCCACTAAGGATTCTGCCAACCGTGGTTTCAAGATGGATGGTTTCAAGGTTTGCGATAATTTCTATTGGTTGAAAGGCAGTGGCAAGTTCAACCTCTTCGGGTTATCTGTCACCTATTTATCTGGTAGGAAATCATCAAATGTTCAGCAGTTTGGAACTTTTAGTGAAGACGATGTTGATGCTTTGCGTGCAATAGCTGAGGAACCTGGAGTTGTTGATTTGTTCTTGACTAATGAATGGCCAAGTGGGGTTACAAATGGAGCAGCTGCTTCAGACATTCCTGCTGAATTCTCGGAATCTAGCGGCAGTGATTCAATCATATCAGAGTTAGTACAAGAGATTAAACCACGCTATCATATTGCAGGTTCTAAAGGTATATACTATGCCCGCGAACCATATTCCAATGTTGATGCCGTGCACATTACCCGTTTCATTGGGCTTGCATCTGTTGGAAATAGAGATAAGCAGAAATTTATTCATGCAATTTCTCCAACACCTGCATCCACCATGTCTTCAACTGAGATTGCCATGAAAACCACAAATACTACCTTATCACCATACACGTCTACAAAGGAAAAAGCTTCTCCTAATGACACTGCAAAGAGACCTGGTGACTCTGATTCTCAACATTGGAGATATGATGTTTCACAAAAACGGCAGAAACATGACGCTGGAGATAAGTTATGTTTCAAATTTGTATCTTCTGGCTCTTGTCTACGGGGAGACACATGCAATTTCCGACATGACACAGATGCAAGGGAGCACTGTTTGAGAGGTGTTTGTTTTGATTTTTTGAACAAGGGAAAATGTGAAAGGGGTCCAGATTGCCGCTTTAGGCACAGCTTGCAGGATGAAGGTGATAAGCATCCTTCCAGGAAGCCTGGATCAGAAAATACAAGGTCTAGCAGATCAAGAGAATGCTGGTTTTGCTTGTCAAGCCCCAATGTGGAGTCACATTTAATCATAAGCATCGGGGAAAATTACTATCTAGCACTGGCTAAAGGTCCACTTGTTGAAGACCACGTGCTGATAGTACCTGTTGAGCATATGCCAAGTACTTTATCTTTGTCTTCTGAATCTGAAGCTGAGCTCATACGATTTCAGAACAGTCTCAAGAGATGTTTCAAGAACCAAGAAAAGGAAGTCATATTTTTTTGAGTGGGCTTCCATACGCGGCACTCATGCCAATCTTCAGGTCATTCCCATTCCATCTTCCAAAGCAGTTATGATTGAAAGAGCATTCAATTTAGCTGCACAAAAGTTGGGATTTGAATTTGTTGTAAAGAAATTCGATAGCATTTCTGATGGAAGAAAGTTTTTGAAGACACAAACTGACGGGAATTCAAGCTTGTTCTATGCTGAAATCCCAGGAGGCACAATTTTGCTGCACCATGTTGAGGAGAAAGACACGTTTCCTGCCCAGTTTGGACGTGAGGTTCTGGCAGGGTTGCTTAATATGGCAGATAATGCAGACTGGAGGAATCGCAAACATAACAAAGATGAAGAGATGAAAATCGTTGAAGATTTCAAGGACCGATTTCAAGAATATGATCCAAACCGTTGATTGTTCATGCATTAAATTCTCAATTTACAGTGATCCCATGATGATTATGTTGACTCACCCAAGCCGGATTTCAAACTGAGACTGTGAATGACCATCTCTTGTGGCATCCTGACTGCAATACAAACAACATATACATAACCAGTGAGCCAGATCTCACAGATTCTGCAGATGATTTTGTTGTCAATATATGTCTCCATTTTGCGATGATATTTCACGTCGATTCTTCATTCAGCAAGGGACCAGCTTATGGAGCAGAATGTTGCACTTGATACGGCTAGAAGAGAAGCCGAAATTGCAATTCATGCTCGCAATGACTTTTTGGCTGTTATGAATCACGAGATGAGAACTCCGATGCATGCAATTATTGCACTCTCTTCATTGTTACAAGAAACAGTTATGACGGCCGAGCAACGTCTGATGGTGGAAACAATATTGAAAAGCAGCAATCTATCGGCTACGCTCATCAACGATGTTTTAGATCTTTCACGACTCGAAGATGGCAGTTTTCAGCTTGAAACAGCAACGTTTAATCTTCATTCAATGTTTAGAGAGGTCCTTAACTTGATTAAACCTGTCGCATGTGTTAAAAAGCTGTCACTCACTTTACATTTCGCACCAGATTTGCCGGTGTATGCAATTGGTGATGAAAAGCGTCTCATGCAAACTCTTCTCAATATTGTTGGTAATGCTATTAAGTTCTCAAAAGAGGGAAGCATTTCAATCACGGCAGGAAGATTCTGGTATGAACGGTTTTGCCGTATTACCGAACTCGATCCCTGTATAATTCAGAATCAGCAACAACCGCAAAACTCCAGTCCTGCACCAGAGGAACTGAGTCCTTATGAAATAAGTGAAATATATCACTACTTCAGCCATCAATCAATGTGAGCCATTAACCAAGCCATATTCACAAGCTGAAACAAAAAATAAAAAGTAAGTGAGCTAGCTGAATAATAATCCACGTCACCTAAGTGAGCTGAAATGAGAAATTGCAAAAAAAAACGACATGAATATTTTGTTCAGCAAAAGCTCACGCGTAAACACCCACTTCAAAACGGCAGAAAATTATCACAAACGGCAAATCATTTTTCACTCATTCTCATCTATAAATAGAATTCATCCCTCACTCTATTCTTCAAGCTTTTAAGCCAAAAAACCTCTGCTGATTTTCTTCCTCAAATTCCTCACTACCAGAAAAAACCTTCGTTCACTTTTCTTCTCCTACTTCCTTCCACCAATTTCACTTCAATTGATACAAATTCAACCAGAGATTCGTTCAGAAGAAGAAGAGAATCAAGAAGAAGTTTGGATTGATTTCTTACCTGTGATTTTGAAGGTAGTTCAATGGATTTCGTTTTCTCGATTCGAGTTCGTCATTGCATATTTCCTTGAATTGTTTATACTGTTGTGAAGAGCTTTTGATTCCGATCACAACCGTGTTAGTTTCGCATCCCGTCGCTTTGATTTGAGCTTGAATCCATAGCCATGGTGAACGGTGTCGCGTGAAGTTTTGAAGAAGAAAGTTGTTCTGATGTTTTGGTTTTCTACTTCTCTTTTTCCTTTTCGTTTTTCTTTACTATTTTAAATATATTTTTCTTTATTCCTTTTATTTTGTTATTTCTTTTTTTTTACTAGTTAATATTTTAAATAGTTTTTTTTAAAGAGCTCTTAAAAAATTTATTTAAAAACTTTTGTTTTGAGCTAATTGTTGGTTGTTTTGGATTTTGAATTTTGATAAGATCTCATCAATCTCAATGGACTTTGGGTGTCGATTTTATCCACCAAAAGAGGTGATTGATATTGATGATGATTTAACCGATTTAAGATCCAAATTGTGGTTTCTTTTCATTTTAGTTCTTCTTCTTATTTTTCTTTTGATCGATGAAATCTATGGATCATAGATTGTTGATTATCAAGGTTGATTAATCTTCATTATTTCAAAACTATGGACGAATAATCATTGAGATAATTCTCCTTACTTTGGAATAGTGATAGATTACCTTTGATTAATTAATTAAAAATCTTGATTATGATGAGATCACTACCTCTTTTCTTTTTGTGTGGCATGTTTTAGGAGAGTGATTTACATATCACTTCTCTAACATGTATTAACACTAACATTTTATTGACCGGCCTCAGATAGTCGTGGTTTCTACATAAACCCGATTACGATTGCTTAACATAGCGCTAAAGTGTCCCTTAATCGGAAAATGATCATTCGTGGCTCAAACTTACGTTTAAAAGTCCAAGTATGATTAGTTGCTTGTCTTAACTCCAATACCTATGAAAATCATTGTTAGGAGGCTTTGATTCTATCAATCCTCTAATGAATTTTCATTAATCTTGGTCTAAGTGCAAGAATTAATCATCATTGATCATATGTTCTAACCACTAACCACTAATTCACTAACAATATCCTTGTTTAATTTTGTTTATATTCTCTTCTTACTCTTTATTTTTTTACTTTTATGCTTCCATTTTATCATTTCATATCATATCTTTGTTTATGTTTATGTCATTTCTCTTTTGTCCACTTGGACCATACTTTGTTCAAAACATTAATAAAGGATAAAACATCTAAAAATTTTTGGTGCTATTAATTTTGTGGTTATGCTCTTGGACTACTCTTAGACCTTGGACTTTATGGACCTTTGGACTTAGAATTAGGGCTCTCATTCCTATGCTTGGAGTATTGTGGATCTTAGCCTTTATTTGGCTCGCTCATTAGCTTATGCTTTAAATCGGATGGAATTCTTTTTTTTCACTTGCTATGGAGTGTGCTACAAGTCGGTTAGATCTTTCTTACCTCTAGCTCTTATTTTGGTTTTTAGGATAGTCACTTCATCTCCTCCCCTTCTTAAATTTTCAAAACTTTCTCCCTCTTTCAAAACCTTCTTGGTTTCAAACTTCAAAACCGCTTTCGCAATAAAACCTTGACTTTCGTCAAGTGATTTTTTTAAAACTTTGTTTTTTTAATAAAAAGTCAATCAATGTTAATCATGCTTTGACCAATTTCAAAAGACATAAAAAATACAAAAACTCACAAACTCTTTTTGTGCCTTTATGCACTTTTTCACTTTAAAACTTTTTTCATAAAGTTTAGACATGATTCATTTCTATAGTTGAGATGTAAATCTCCTATTCCCCATATTATTAAGACTTTGACATTTTCCACGTTGATGTTGAGTGATAGTCTTGTTGATAATCCAAGCAAATCCTCCATCTTTATGTGACGCAGATGTTGTCTTAATACTCGTGGGTGGATAGTCGCAGTTTTCTCCTTGAAATGACGACTTGTCTGAACATCTAAAATCAATCAAAACCAACAAAATTTTGTCATTTGTACCACGAACTACGGGGTTTTGATTCCATATTGCACTTTATGGGTACGTAGGCATGAGACGATAAGTCTCTCCAAACACAAAAATATAAAAAATAATTCTCTTCTCATCTCCCCAATCTCTTTTCAAACAAACCATTTTCAAACCAAAAAGCGTAAATATTTCAAAGGGCTCCTATAGAGTACTATAGACGTTTTGGGTGCTAACACCTTCCCATTGCGTAACCAACCCCCTTACCCCGATCTCTGCCTCGTGTTCTTATTTTAGAACTCTTTGGTTTTGTTCGCTCTTTTTTCCTTTCCTTTATTTGGATAAAATAAAAGTGCGGTGGCGACTCTTGTTTTCTTTGAGTTAAGTTAGTCAATAACTTACACTCACGATTTTTACCGCTACACTTCCTCCTTAACAGAATCAAGCTTTGGCATGTTTGGTTTCTCTAAAGAGGAGTTTCATGAAGTAAATGCACTTCAAGGTAATTTTTGTGGTACAACAAATCAGGATTGAGGTTGTCTACTCCAACTGGATATCAAGCCTATGTTCTAATTGAGCAAAGAGAATCTTCTAAGTGGCAGAATGATAGCCTGAACTCTCCCGCTGGATGTCTTAACCAAAGTTGTGACATCAAGCAGGAACTTCAAAGGCCTCAAGTGATGGTGTGGCATATCATTTGAAGATAAGTTGATCTTCTCATGTATGAATGGAGTTAATTCTTCATATCATGCAGTTTGCGGGAGCTGTGTGAAGAAGTAGATGCCTTGCGTTGGAGCAAGAAGAATGTGAAGATCGAAGTGGCCTGGTGGATTAGCAGACTTTCTAAAGCTCTGAAAAATGCTGAATAACCAAACAGTGGCATTTGTCTAGTTAAGTAGTGTGTCTGTAGAAAACTATTCTTGGGCATAAGGGTAGTTATTTGAAGAACACAGAAGGGTTTGTGTCTGTTCATGCTTGGAATAAATTACTCTGGTGCAGAAGGGTAATTGGTTGAAGACCAAAGGAGGATCTGTTTCTGTTCACATATTGGAGCTTGTGGTAGAAGCCCTAACATGTGTATAGAAGATTACCTTCTTGTGGAGATGGAGTTGATCAAGCTGTGAAGATCTTCAGTTTGACTACTAGGCAGCAGTAAGTCCAGTATGGGCACATAAAGAACCATGGGATGGTGTGTCTGTGATTTGAACCTTCTGATATGTGAAGATCTCTTGTGGAACTTGTGATTCACTTCTTGGCTAAGAAGTACTCTATCTTGTCATACGGGAGAATGATAAGGTAAAAGGATTGTCTTGGAGTTTGATGTGAAGGTATTAAGTGCATTCTGATGTGATAAAGTCCCTTTGCGGTGTCTATCTTGTATTCAGCCTAAGGCCAGAATACTTGTGAAAAAGTGGTCTCTTCTGCTACAAGTAACTCTAGGAAGAGGTGAATCAGCTTGGTGCCTCCTCTCTGTATGAGCATGGAGTTGGTCATGAGAGATAATGTGGTGACCTTGGAGCAGCTGTTATCAAAGATATGGGGAGAGCTTTTGTTTGATGGGTGTACTACTTGCTTGTGGTTCAAGCGGTAAGTGAATGCGTTCAACATGTGTGTTGAACAGAGAATGAGTTCTTGAAGACAGGAAGATGCGTCTTATGTTTTCCATTCATGTGCACTGGTTACCATTGA